CATTATCACTAAGATGGCCGTTATATTCAATACTTAATTCTCTAGTTCTTTGGAAAATGTATCGAGTTCTTAGGTCACTGAAAAAAGAAATCAGAAGAAAAAAATTCAAATGTAATTTATTTTAATACAATCAGATAAAATGACTGTGTTTATATGTCTTACTATTCAATCTCCCAATTTGTCAGTTGAAAGAATAATATATTTAGGTCACAATAGGAAGTACAGAAGATTAGAAAGACAGAATTTTTAGGGGTCGTTCACAATTATGAACATTTTCAAAAGTGTACAAACTCTTTCTCTGTACATACTCCCTCCCCTCTGAGGGGAAGAAGTGTGTATCACTTGTGATAATGTTGAATGACACCTTAAATCATTTTCATTTATTACTAATATTTACCTGTTTTTATGTGAACATAAAGATATGTTAAAAATTACAAAAATTAATGAAAAATCAATTTTACAGGAATTCATTCATTTTAATCTATCAGAATGTTTGATATATACACTGCCCTCATAGACCAGTTTTGTGACACATTCAATATTCATAGGTTTTGCATGGTTGATCACCATAATACATCAAATATGCTGCAGTAAAAGCACACAGGAACTGCCATCTTCGTCCTCTTAACAATTCATCATTCTAAGAATTCGTTGCTGACACAGCATTTCAATTTATTACTATAGGCACCAACATTTTGGAACTGCCTTCCAAAATAAAAAAATAAATAATGCTGGGATTTTAGGAAAATGTGTAAGCTCAAAGCTTATTTCATCCAAGAGATTTCAGAAACCCCTGAGTGTTTTAGGGAAAATTTATATTGTGAGGTATTTAAATTAATTAAAGAACAATTTCTATTGCTAAATTTTAATGTGGTTGCATGAACAACTAGAGCAGTCACTCCATAGAAAAATATGCAGACTGCATATAATGTGCGAAAGTGCAGCATACCCTTAATAAAATAATGGAATCGTCTATCATATTCAGGCACATTATTGCTGTAGAATATCCTCAAGAAAATAATGGAATTGCCTGTCATTTTCAGACAATTTTGCTAACAGACAGGCAGACAAACACACAGCAGTAAATACGTAACCTTTTTGGTCAAGTAGATAAACAGTATGGACATAGCAACAAATGTCTGTTATTTAACAACATCTATTTGTTACTTTGCGCACCAAAAAATGCACATTCATTATTCATTGTCAATTTTGACTCGCCCTTTAAATGTTCAATTAAAATTGATCCCAATTACAATTAAATGGATTGATGTTTAAATGATCATCTCATCTGAAAGGATGAGGTTTGGAAATTGTACACTGAATGAACATACCCGTTAGGTTATTTAATATTGGATGAAAAACGTCATCAGTATGGATTTATTGTCTGTTTGGAATTTGTCACTAATTATGGATTGGTCCTGAGGCTCGGTAGTAGTAAAAAAAATTATTTTGTTTGTTGTATACTCTGTGTTTATGTTTATTCAAAAATATGTAAATGATATACAAATTTACTTTAAATATATATTGAAAGAACTCGATTTATTTATCACTTATTTGTCAATTATATTTCAGTTTAAGCTCAGTTTGAATTTGTTATAGAAGGACCCGGATACGATGTTCCCAATATCGTGTTTTTTTATAACATACTGATTGTTAATTCTGTAATGTACAGTTGAACTTGTCGAAGTCGAACCCAAATAAGCATCGAAAAACTGTTTGACTGAAATATAATTTGATTTACAGATTGTTAATTAATGGAAAACACAACAATTTGGCGTGTAAAATAAGATCGCATTAAAAATTATTTTATAAAGGACTTTGGAATCCCAACAGTATAACAAATAAATAAAATAATTATATTTTTAGAGGAAAAACATAAGACAAAATATTTCTTGTTTATACTAAAAATATATTAGAGTAATGAATCATCTTGTAACATTTTCCATACTTATATGCTCTTCATTTTATCAATTTTTTAAATATAAAATTCTGTGATACTCGCTCCTTGTTTTTTATGATGTATTGACTGAGCCCTATAATATTAGTGGTACTGTACTGAATGAAATATAATACAGATATCGAGAGGAGCTTATGTTAATTATATTATGTTAATATTGAAATGTTGAGTACATTATTATAATACCAAACCCAATGGATCACAAAATTCTAGATTTTTATTGTCAGTAAGTGATAATGGTATAAAAGTTTAGTAGAATATAGGCTTATTTAATATATAAAAAGACATTTATTAATAATATTTAATAAAGGCTATATTGAATTCTACAATTAACTAGTCATCTAAGCTATTCAGTAAATCTTTCCATGGGCTTTTGCCTAACGGAAAAGCTTGTAAGTAAAATTGGGCGTAAAGTAGCAGATGGACTAATAACCGAGATGGGCGTAGTGTACATATTTTTCCTTTATGTTCGCACAAATTTTTGCAGGAAGGCACAGTATAAGATCAACAGATATAGTTCTGAAACAGAAAGATCAAAGCAATGTTCGCATTAGATAAATAGTTCGTTAAAAGCCACTTTATGAAATTGCATATTGGATTAAAACTTATATATAGGGCCTACTCAATTATCGAATAAATACACAATAAGCTCCAAACGAAAGAAATATTATCATTGTTGATATTTTTATGTAATGCGGTTTTTATCTTTCGACAAGAAGAAGATAGCGATTTCTTTCGGAGAACTTTGGAGGGGAGTATGTATATGAATGCTAATTCGTCTGCAACTCCTACGACCAAAGCATTTCTGAACACTCCTTAACTTCTTATCATTCGCGTTTTTTTTTTAAATTTCTATTTGACTAATAATTCATAGGCCTATGTTGATAAAACGAATGAACCCCCAAGGCGTTGTACAATTAATAATGCTATGCTGCAACTTTAATCAGGCCCTACATTTGACTTCACCTCGTAAACTGTTAGTCTCTGTTGCCTCGCTGTAACAGTTATGTTAGTTATGAACTTGGTTATGGATGTAGTGCACAATATTATTATTCACATCCTGAGAGATTTATAAGTCATTTCTTATGAAGGTTCAGTAACATACGAATCACTATGAAAATGTCGAATGTATCAAATTTTTGCTATAAATAATTCATTGAGTATTCCGGGCTGGACCTTTCGGTGTACAACCGTCCATACCCTAAGCATTGACTCAGTGTAGCAACGAGTGTTTTTTTTTTTTTTTTTTTCTTTCTTTTTTGTATTTATTTGTACATTTTTATGATTTTGAAATTCAAAGTTGTTTGGTTTTATAGGAATGGTGAGGTGAACATTATATCTTTAGGCAATAAGTATGTTCTCATCTTTCAACTTATCATTATTTTTATGGTACTGAACCATTTCATTATGTTACAAAAGTCTTATATTTCTCTTTTATATTCTTTTTCCTGTTGTTGTATAACCATTGTCATACTATACAAGTATAGAGTTTGATCACTTCTCTCATTTACCTATAATAATCCATGTTTTGAAAATTGGCATTTGTGGGATAATTCCATTCCTGGTAATTAGGTTACTTTATGAGCATATCATGGTAATTTGTGTATGGACAAAGTTGATGCTAAAGAGAGATTTTCTAACTAACCTTAAACCTGGTGGCATAAATAGACTAAATGTAGAGGTTTATGAGATTAGCATCCTGCTGCTTTTTATGCAATCTGACACTTTGCTTATGTAATCAGGGATTTTAAATACATAATTAACACCCTATAAATAGGATACGCATTTTACAGTAATTATTCTTGCAAAATGATATCAGCCATGATATTTAGAATCTTGTTCAGGTGTGTTTATAATAATAATAATTGTCAACTTATACATAAAAACTTTTAATTATGCTTTACGAATCCCACCCTTTACATAATCACTATGTATTTATGCGTTCTGGTCTGAGATTACGAGCTCCTCGTTCAACACATAACAGACACAGTTTTTCATTTGTAATGATCTCAATCAGATTATATAATAAATATGCATCAAGATAATTTGGTATTAATGATGATGGCTGTAGTAGTAATAATAAATATAATAAAACATTCATATAAAGCATTGATCGTAATGATAATGATTGTAATAATGATTATAATTGCGATAATTGTAATAAGAAAAATATTTTATGTATTTCCATGTATTTTATATATGTTTCTTATTGATTTTTACTATGTACAGTATTTTGTATGTAAATACGCCATGGAAAACGAATTTCCAACATGTTTTTAATGTTTGGACAAATAAAAGTTTATCTTAACTTATCTTTATCTTATGTATTGTAGAGACCTATGCGCTTAACATTATTACCCGAGGTTATTGGGTCAAGCACATAGAGAACACATGCCGTACTCAGGTCCCTTGGCAGAATTCCATAATGCTGCAGCTGTTTAATAATGAGCGCATTTTGTGTTTGAACCTACCAGGGTACCCACTTGTACTCCTCAGTGGAGAGAGATAACCATAGATAAAGTGCTTTGCCTAAGGACACAAGTGATTTGCACAGCAAGGAATTGAACCTCGAGGTTGAGAAACAGAAGCAGTACCGCAACCACTGCACCAAACCGCTTTTTTGTGGACAATATATTGTCTTTGGTTATAATGCGCTTTAGTAAAATAGAATTTGTTTTTTCATCCACTGTTTTTGAATACAGTAGGGGGCTGAAGCTTATCTCCAGTTGTGAGTGAGGTACTCCCCCTCGATGGGATGCTAGTCCATCATAGATTATTCCTGGCAAATTCGCGAGTACCTGTTGAATGAATTTCCAAGCGATTTAGAATACTGTACTTTTTGTGCGGTTTTTTTTTTTGTTAGGCAACATCAGTGATGCTCCTTACTACAGTCATACAGTACATGGCTTGCTGTTTGTGATTTTGACCCAACTATAGGCCATAGTGAGTCCACTTGCCAATTACGTTTTTTGAAACATAGTGTTTAGAAAATTCCTGCTCTGTGGTATGTGATAATGACTTGTATTTCATTCTGCTCTTTCAGAACCGAATGCATGAATCAATGAAACTATTTGATTCCATCTGCAACAACAAATGGTTTACAGAAACCTCCATTATTCTTTTCCTGAACAAGAAAGATTTGTTTGAAGAGAAAATCAGCAAGTCACCCCTTGTTATCTGCTTTCCAGAATACTCTGGTATGTCACCCAGTTATGAATATTAATGAGATGCATAAATAATTAGGTAACATGAATATCAATGACTGAACACCTGTAATCTGCACAATATCGAAACACATGTTTACTGGTCACCGGTACATTTAAATAGTAGAAGTCGTAAATTTTTAAAAATTTGTTAGTGTTAAAGTTCTAAAATATTAGGAATTGTACACTAAGGTTTGTTTTGTTGTTGCCGTTAGGTTCAAACACTTACGAGGAGGCTGCGGCATACATCCAAATGAGATTCGAGGACTTGAACAAGAGGAAAGACCAGAAAGAGATCTACACACATTTCACATGCGCCACAGACACTAACAACATTCAGTTCGTGTTTGATGCGGTTACCGATGTCATCATCAAGAACAACCTCAAGGACTGCGGTCTCTTCTAAGTAAGTTTGCCTTCAATCCCATAATGTAATATAATCATATGTTTAATACATTATAATTATATTATATAATATATATATAATGTAATATAATATATAATTATTGTAATTGTACAATATAATTATAATGTATTGTGTATTATTATATTACATTATAATTATATTATACAATGGAGGGCAAACAAACAATTGATTTGTCAAAATATTATTTTATCGTATGTCACGATAAATCGATATCTAATCATCCTAGTATACAATTTCTCTTTGGCTTTTTATCGTTATCGTTGCAAGTATAAAAAGGCCTTTTAAATCACTACTTCTTTTGGTTCATGCAGATGTGTAATAATATGACATTGATTTCATATAGTGCTGTATCAAGGTTAGTTTCTTACTAGACTGTAACTAGGCCTGAAATGCTCCCAATTTTAATGTGTTAGTTTCCTTGTCTTGATAACCATTAGATCTAGAAATTCCTTGAATTTCGCGTTCACTCGCTTTCACATTATACTGTAATGACAGCCCAGACAATAGCACATTATGCTGCTCATCATATTAAGGAATCTAATTGTATAAAGAGGAAGTTTATTCTAAATTGCTAAAGAGAACAGAACCGTTGGGTTTCAAATTGTCAACTTATATAAACACAAAAGAAGATCGATTGTATTTTACTTGAAGACTGAAATGTAATCTTTGGGAAGAGGATGCTTAAGCTGCTGGTCCTGTGTTTAATGCAGCCCATGTTTAAAAATTCAGTAGGCCTACACCTCCAAAAAAGAATAGAAAATTGATTTCTGGTGTACTGTTAGCCCATCAACAGAAAAACCCTACAGTATACAAATCTCATGCACAAGAATGGAGTAATTTTAGTGGAAAAAGTACACTATTTCTAGGCACTTCTTGAATAGTTAACTTTATAGGTTCTAATACTTGTATCAATGTACAGTATGTTAAATATGTTTTACTTTGTACTACCTAATTCATCACCAGAAAGATCCTAGTGGCCTCTTGCTATCATTTTGACATCAAAATTACAGTACACAGTCTCCTGGGTGTCTTTGAGTAGCACTATGTTAGTATTCATTTAAAACTCTATTGGAATTAACATATTCATTTATAGATGCCATCTCCTTTACCTTGTATCTTGTAATTTATTAAATGGGTACCTGGTAGGATGTTGTGGCATTGAATGTTCTAGTTTTGTGTGCTAAAGAAGTAGCGAACGACTAGGGATACTCTCCAGGGAGCTGGTTTTCCATTGCACGTTGTCCAGTGATCAGGGGTAACAATGCTCGCGCATTTGATAATTCAACTTGGAATTGGCGCCTTATAAATGTTTGAGTATTATTATTATTATATATTTTAACAGTATTTGTCCACAATATTGAAAAATTCACTTGAAATCAGATCGTCTAACCAAAACACACGGCAGATTTCACACCATTAAAATTTCCAGTTTTATAAAGCAATTGTTAACAGGTGAAAGGTACCAAGGCCGGAATATATGTTGTTATATAACACCAATTGTTCATTCGATAATTCATTGCCAGCTATAAATATTGAATAATCAATTAGATAGGATGGAATATTTGGTATAATGTTACAACGTTTATTACCTCTACCATATAGTAATTGAAAAATGAATCTATTTCAAATAATATCTGGCGCCAGAAATGTTAATTATGCAAAATTTAATGTGATGCACTTTCGGTCTTCGCCAAAAATGTGCAATGTGAGGCAAATATTAAATAACATGTAATTGTAAATGACTATCACAATTTTCTAATATATTTTTATTTCGTGTGGAAACGAGCGTAGAAGCTGTTAGCCTTAAATGCACCATACAAAATGTAACTTTATCTTTATTATTATAAAATATTGGGTGTAATATATTATTATAATGCCGAGATCACAATCTCAGTAGTGATAACTTGTTAGCTGCTGCCAATGAAATATTGAATTGAATTTTTAAATTTTTTTTTTTTTTGTGTAAATCATGACATATCTGTAAATAATGTCCTACTTTATTTCCAATAAGATGCATATTCTATTCTCAAAGCAAATAAACGATTCTAGCTTTTGTGTACCGTGATGGTTTGAATAATTTTTAATATTCTTTTCTTTTTTTTTGCAGACCTATTGGATCATGTGACAGTCGCAAGACACTCCAGTAATTGGACGGTTCGTCACTGACCACTGGCGCTGTTTTTTGTATAGTCATATCTAAGCCATTTGGTTGTATCCAGTTTTGAGATCCTTAATCATTTTAAATATTTTGATAGGTAGACAGATTATTCTAGTTCACTTTTGACCGTTTTGGTAGCGACAATTAAGTTCTTGATCCGCTCGATTGTTCTTGTGTCTTAAGACTTGAATATATACTCTGCAGCCTATACCTTTAGTAAAGTCAACTGTTGACTTTATCGAACGAGTATAGCTCGCACGGAATCAAGCCATTGTTTAATTCAGAGATAAAACATGTTCAATTTACATGTGGCTATATAGCTGCTTTATTATTAAATGCTCTAATATGCAAATAAATAATTTGCATATAACCAAGAATAAAAAAAAAATTAACATAAGGTGTATAATAGTGTTATGAATATAAGAGTGGAATTTGATATAACTAACTACTATGTAGATTATTGTTTTTTCCGTGAATGTATAAAAAGGGAGAAGATATGATACATAGAGCACTTTGACTGTTAGACATACAACATCGTAGCAAACACCTTTATATTGAGCGAAGATTCATCAGCTTATATATATATTACTGTTTAAAAACCATGTACAGTCAACACTACCGGTTGTAATAGATTCCCAGATGCGCATCACACGGTCCGTGCAATTAGTGTTAGAGCTAGTTTGATTTTCCAAGGGGGTGCTAAGTATTTCAGAGTCGTGTATCGATTCTAGTGACATTGTAGTTCTCCAAGTAATCTTGTCTATTATTACACACTAAATGTTTATTTACTCAATTTATAGATGCTCATTATGAGTCGAGAATACCTACGATTCATTGTAGTTAAGTTGGGGTTAGTATTCAAATTGTGTCAATGGTTTTACAGTTTTCCCTTGGCATATCACGACCGTTTTAAAAGAACTTAACTGTTCCAGTGCACTTCAGTAGTCAAGAGATAATATATGTCTTTTATGCGATATTGTGTCGTAGTATAATTAGCTTTCTTCAACGGAATCTAATGTTTGTCATAACGTTCAGCAGATTTGTGAATGTATTTCTACGAATATTTTTCTGTAAGCCGTGAGCTGTAGGAAGGATTAGAAATAATCTTTGGTTAGGTATGTCTGAGGACGTGTTGGATGGTATTTGTTACTAAATCCTAATTGTATTTACTGTAAACCAATTAATTATTTACTGCACTAATGCAGACAGCCTTCCGTCAGCATCAGCTGAGCTGATTGGTTTGGCCTAAGTTTCAATATAACAAATCTAAATGTTAGAATTTAGTGGTATATTGCATTGTACAAAAAAAAATGTGGTTGAAAAAATTGTAAAAAAAAAAAAATATTGTTGCTAATTGAAATAATTTACATGACATCACACATGCATCTCTAACTGAAATTATGTATAACATTACTCCCACCTGTAAATTACACCAAAATGTTTTAATTTGGACAAAATTATGTAGTTTTAGTAATCTACAAAATGAGGATAAATATCTGGACAGTTCCAACCCAAGTATTGATACAATACCACAGTTATACTAAAAGGAATCAAGCAACATTGCTGTTAATATATTAAGTTTATTTTGGCTGACCTCATGAATATTGTGGTGAAAGACGGAGTGAAAACCCAACGACTACCTTCTATGTTTCATTTTAGAATTGGTTGAACATCACTAATGTATAGCTTTGCATCTAACTGAAATTGACAACTTAAAGAAAACAGCACTCACATAAACCGGATCGTCGGCATATTCTAATTTTCTAATTTCTGTGATGTAGAATTTTAACTATCTCATTATTTTAGTTCTGAACAGTATGTTTTATTATTCGAATGTTTGTTCCACAATGTTATCTGCATGTACCATCGATGTTTTGATCTCTAAAGATTCCTAATATTTTGGAAATCTATTTTCAACTTGAGTATTTTCAATTATTTGTATTAAGGCTTAAATGTTTTTTCTCAATGTTGTCTAAAAAAACAGAGGTGGGCATAGACCATTGTAAAAAAGGTTATAGTAATGTTGGTGGTGATATTGTCTGCATGTGGTTCTCCTCTAGTTTAATAACTATTAAAATTACGCATTTCCATCTGCCATGAAATAATATCAATTTATTTTTATCAGATGATGACGATGGAATTTGAACCAAATCTTAATCGGCAAACTGGATAAATATAACTTGAATGAACTTCAAATTTATTATTCTGTCATTAAGAAATGTTGGCCATTCTCAGAGAGATACCATTCCATATTTAATTATTAGTAGTGTATATTGTTGTATATGCCTCCACTGTTTTTTGTTTGTTAATTAGCATTCCAGATCTATGGTAGATCAGTTTGTGATGGTCTTCACTGAAGAGTAATAGCGCCCTCGCTTGACTCACACTCTGTAGGCTTGAAGTACAGCCACTGACATGTCTGCAAGTGATGAATATTTTACTGAGGCGTTCATTCATCAGACAAACTTTGATTTATAGTATTCCATGTGCTGTCTACTGTGCCAATGTTTGCTAGACTAGGTGAAATTACCCCACGAATAAATGTATTAAAACTAATAGCCTGTGTCATCTCTCTTTTTTGTATGCTGTAAACTGTCGTTTAAAAGAAAGTCAGCAAAAGATTAATATAAATGTTGGTGGTTTTGCTGTGATCAAACCGCCTTTATCTTCTATCAGATGGCCGTGCATTGCTCATGCTAAGGGTGTTTTTATCAATTAAAAATTAATAGTTTCTTTCTAAATATAATTATTTATTTGTTCCTATTAACAATAGAAACCTTTGCAATGGGCAGAATATGCTAGTGCGTCTGTGTGTGTGTTGCGCTTCATTTTATTTTATGTTCCTCATGTTTTATATTACTTAATATATATGATATTTACACTGACAGTTGCCTATCATCATTGCCAAAATATTTGAACCGCCGTCTTAAATTTTGTTGCAGTTCGCAACAAACAACGTTCCCAGTTATTAGTCATTTCAATATGTTATATCAGTATATAAGTCATTATAGTGTACAAATATTTGTTGTACAACAGGAATATCGTGCATACATGTTTATGAGTAGAAATGCTTGACTGGTTTCAATTCCTGTTACAGTACAGGACGTTCTCTCACGTTTCCATCCAATACTGTAATTGGCAATTTACTTGATGTTGTATATTGTGTAAGGAATCAAAAAGCGTGTGCTGGGCAGAGGCGGATCCAAAGATGTCCAAAAGGGGGGGGGGCCCCGAAAGGGTTGACCGAAGTGTGGGCCGATCGAGACAACAATGCCCTAGGGGGTCCGGAAATTTTTGTGTTCCAGACGCCGGAAAATAACATTTGAGGCGTTGTGGGCTAGCATTTTTTCTTTTTCTTTCTTTTTTTCTTTTTTTTTTTCTTTTTTTCTTTCTTTTTTTCTTTTTTAACCTCCCAAAAGGGGGGGAGAGGGGGGGGGGGGGGGGCCCGCCCCCCCCCCCAAATTCGCCCCTGCTGTGCATAGTTGAACTGTTTGGATCCCTTAAGATTATCAGAGGTTCCGACATTTGCACTGTATGTATGCCAACAAAAAATATGAAGATACCTCAACAATTCAATCAAAATTTTGAAAAGAGGTTAATTTCCGACCAGAAATAGATCGAAAAAAAAGTCGCTGTTTTATTTTCATTTCATTTGTTTGTCTCAAAAAAATTTTAAATTTACAAGAATAGAAACAGCTAGGAATATGCAGAAACAAATGCGAGACAGGACAAGACACCCCAAAAGTGAACTAAATCACTATCGAGTCAAAAAACAAATGCTTACAATATAACATTTTTCTTATATGGAATATCAAAGTTTGAACTGTAGTGTGATGAAAGATTGGCCTCGAAAAGAAGCCTAGGGCTTCAATTCGAGTTTTACGGTATAGAACTACATATTATTAAGGAAATTAAATTATGGAATTGAATTTTTCTTTTATTTTAAGCTCATAACAAACAGTGCTTGTACCTTAGAATGTTTTACCTTCTGGCAGTGGCATGGTATAACCAGAATTGTCCCTACAGTACAGGGGAGTTGGCCGGTTGGTCCGATGTCGCCCCGACGGAAAAGCCAATTTTCCTCGGCGGGAGTATAAACTTCTGGTAATTGAATGATGTAGGCCTAAAGCCCCTCTCCCACCTAGGTTTATTTCACCTAAGAGTCGTACGATTTCTACGAGTTAAAACTCGTGATCTTTGGAAAGGACCTTATACGAGCTTATTACGTGATAGCTACGAGTGAGGTACGACTTTATGGAGTTGGTTACGAGTTATGTACGAATTATGCCGAGCAGAGCACCGAGTTAACTACGAGATTATTACGAGCGTAACAAGTTTGTACCGAATTAGATACGAGTTAGGTACGAGCCAACTCGGTGCGCTCGTACTTACTCGTACCTTATACACATCTAGATGTGTATAAGAGACAGTATTACGTGTTATCTACGAGGGAGGTACGACTTTATGGAGTTGGTTACGAGTTATGTACGAACTATGCCCAGCAGAGCACCGAGTTAACTACGAGATTATTACGA